TAGGAGGAGGAAGTGAGGAAAAGAAAGCGACGGCCTAGCTACCCGCAGGCTTCCGGCCTAGGGTCGCGTAGAGGCCGTAAATCAGAGCCCCCCCCTCTTTTGGCCCCTCCCCCGGTGGGCGGGCTTGACGAGTGTGGCGGGCCAATGGTGAGCGACTCATAAAGCAATAACCCAATGGTTCTGGAGTGGGTGGAGTCTCATGGAATTGAGCTCGCTTGGGCGTGAGCCTCGGAGTTCAGCATTTCCGCCCACGTGGGAAGCGCCGTTGTGTAGACTGTGCTTGAATCCTAAGTGCGGGAGAGAATCTGGCCCCGGAGTGATGGGACCGGCGCCTGCTGGAGAGCAGCTGCCAGAAGCGACCTGGAAGTCAAAGGTGGGTTGAGCCATCTGAGAGGAAGAGAGGTTCAAAGTGCCCTCCCTCGGCAGCAGGGCCGGAGATGGTGAAACCCGACAGCTCTCAGGTGACGGCCACGAGGGCGGCCCACTCTGGAGGAGCCCCGTTCCCCCGGTGTTTCCAACCTGTGGCACTTAGACAGGGCTTGCTAGGGGAAATGGAACCTGGCAGTATTTGGGTAGAAGCAGTGAATCCTACGGAGCCAGCTCTGCACCTCGGATTTGAAGAGATCTGCAGCTTGGGTCATTTCCTTTACGGGTCCTTCTTGACATTGAGCCGGATCTTCCTTCCTCCGCAGGACTTATGTCCATTTCTGTGCTCTCCGCTGTAACGGAGGGCACGCGGTAGGTCTCCTGGAGCGCTCCAGGAAGGCTCTTTTGAGTGCGGGATTATGGAGGGTACCGGCTCAGGGCTGTAGGAGAAAGGTTGGGCTCCTGCAGATCTGGCTTTGAAGCCTGCTCACAGTCCTGTGTACCAGCTGTGAAACCTCGAGTGAGTGATAGGACTTCCCTAAAATTTCTTAAAGAATTGTCGTGAGGATTGAATGACTTCTAAATATATCCTTCTGGGTTCATTGGGTTATAGCTCCTTCTAACTGTTAGCACTTAATGTATACTGATACGGTCAGGGCTTGCTAGAGCAGGTGGAACCTGGCAGAATTTGGTTAGAACAAGAGTGAAAAAGACATTTAAGCAGTCCCACGCCTATATCAGGATAATAGGAAACTCCTGAATTCACAGTACCTGAAAATTTGAGGGGCTTGGGCATTACTTAGGGCACAGCCCAGCTCACGTCTGCCCTTACGGACTCCAAGCAGAGCCCCATGCATAAGATATCAGGTAGACAGCCCTTAGCTCAAGGAATTTTTCATTCTAGAGTTCAGTAATATTCCTTCAAATACTGATTAGCCTGAGTTTTACAGGATTCCTATTTGAAAGAGACGGGGAGTAGGTGAAGCCTTTTCCCACATCCTGTCATGGTGGTAGTTCAAGAAGCAGATGCTAGATAACTATGACCTCACGTTGGTTTTTCCTTCTCTGGTCGCAGGCAATGGAACCAGCCCTGGAAAGCACAGGCAAGGAGAGGAAGAAGGCAACCTCAAGGAAGCGTGCAGTGCCTGGGTCTCCAGTGGAGGGATTCCTGCAGCCAGTGAAGCTCAGCCAAGAAGAACTGTACAAGGAGCCTACCAATGAGGAGCTGAATCGTCTTCGGGAGACTGAGATCTTGTTCCACTCCAGCTTGCTTCGTTTACAGGTCCTGTTGAGTGGCTGAGGCTTGGATTAGAGGGATAGTCCTGGTATCTTGAGGCTGATGGACTCTCTACTGCCCCCTCTTACAGGTAGAGGAACTCCTAAAGGAAGTGAAGCTGTCAGAGAAGAAGAAGGACCGGATTGATGCCTTCCTGCGGGAGGTGAACCAGCGGGTTATGAGGGTGCCCTCAATCTCGGAGAGAGAGGTGAGTGGCCTGGGGAACTGGGAATCCCAAGAGAGACTTCGAGGAGGGCACCACAAGCAGCGGCCTTGCTATTCTCTTGAGGGTTGGGGTACTGGAGAGCTCATTCTAATTGCAAGGAGGCTCAGCTGCCTGGGAGTGTAGTCATTTGTGTATTCATTCACTCAGCAAGTACTTACTTGCCTTGCGGTGTGTGTGTTCTTAGTATGTATCAGTAAACAAAATAGACTGTGCTAATGTTTGTAATGTGAACATTATAATCTCATACAGTAAGCATGACAGGTAAACTGTTAGAAGGTGATTGACACTGGACAAAGGAATAATTTGGACAAGTTAGGGGATGAGAGTGGTTTACAAGTTTAAATAGGGTATTCAGGGCAGGCCTTACTGGAGTGACATTTTTGTAAAGATTTGAAGTCGGTGGTCAACCATGTAGATATCAAAGGGAGTAAGCATTCCAGGAGGAGGACCGCCAGTGCAAAGACCCAGAGGCAGGAATGTTCCTGGCATACTCCTTGGAATGAATGAGGGGAAGATACAAGGAGATGAGTTCAGAAAGATGATGAGAGAAAGTGACATATCATGTAGGGCTTTGTATACCGAAATAAAGACTTTGGCTTTTGCTATGGATGAAATAGAGAGCCACTGCTGGGCTCATTTTGCGGTGTAGTGATACCCTCTAACTTTTAAAAGTTCACTTTGCCAGTCTTAAAAAGTTTGGTTTTAAAAAGTGTATTCTGGAGCTGGGCTCGGTGGCTCAGCCTGTAATCCTGCGCCTTGGGAGGCTGAGGTGAGTGGATTGCCTGAGCCCGTAGGTTCGAGACCCGCCTGGGCAACTTGGTGAAACCTCATCTCTACAATAAATAAAAAAAAATTAGCTGGGTGTGGTAGCGCGCGCCTGTAGTTACAGCTACTTGGAAGGCTGAGGTGGAAGAATCGCCAGAGCCCAGCAGGTAGAGGCTGGGGTGGCTGGGAGCGGCCACTGCACTCCAGTCTGGGTGACAGAGTGAGACTCCAACTCAAAAAAAAAAAAAGTGTACTCTGGGCCGGGCTCAGTGGCTCACCCTGTAATCCCAGTGCTTTGGGAGGCCGAGGTGAGTGGACTGCCTGAGCCCACGGGTTCGAGACCCGCCCAGGCAACTTGACGAGACCTCATCTCTACAATAAATCAAAAATT